ATTGTGATACAAGAAATTTTATTTTCCATTGCAATATACGAAAGTTACAAATTCACTAATATACAAAATATTCACAAAATAAAAGTATTAAATTGAAATGAAAAGAAATAAATATTCATGATCGTCTCAATCACAGTGATTTTATACTTAAAATTTGGGTAATTGCATTGGTGCGTGCTTAAGTGATTTGTTATTATTAATTTTCTCATCAAAGTGTTGAATTAATTTTTTGGAGCAAAGGAATTGTTTGATGATTTGTTGGACAATTATGGCACACGGTCGTTTAGTTAATTCATCTGACCAGCAATTTTCGAGTAGTGTTACTAAAGCCCTACCGTATTTATCTGAAATGATTTTCGATGAAAAAAGGCGAGAATTGAATAAGAGAAAAAGGAGAAGAAGATAAGAAGATGTCTGAATTTCACGCAAATTACATGTCCGCAAGGTTAAAATTTAAAAGCCAACAAACCTTTCGGTATATTGAGCTGCTCAATTTCAGGTCTCAATTTATGTACAACAACACCGTAAATGAGAATGTGCGGATGTATAGAGCTATATACGGTTTTCCACGTTAGAATCTCCCATAGAACTAATGAAAATGAATAGATATCAGCTCTATCAGTTATCTTCTGACCCTGAAAAAATCCAATTTTGTCAATGAAAAAGTATCTTCATATTTTCAAAAATTGATCGCATACTTTATATGTGAAATGAAAAGTCAACACTAACATGAGATATTAATAATCTTTTTGAAAACTTTGCACATATGCGTATACTAATGATTTTGAATTTTGGCACCTAAATGAATTCGATTTTAGACGATTTGAGCGCTACTGTTCTTGCTAAAATAATGCGTTTCAGTCTTTTTGAATTTGAATAAAACAAAAAACATATGTACGCACTTATTATGTTTGTACCTAGCATAACGAAGTTTTAAATTTAATTTCATATTTTAACTGCTTTCTTTGAATATATTGAAAAGTCAATATTTTATTGTAAATAAAAGGTTGATCAGAAAAATTTATTATTTGATAAATATTGAACTTACGCACATAAGTTACTTGAATCGCACATATAAATTCAATTTTCTCCCTTTTTTATTGGATGATTTTATGAATGAATGTGAAATTTTGGGAAACGCTAACACAATAAGCAAGAATAACATAATATTTTGTTAGAATATGCGAAACCTTTAACAATTCTGGTGCCTTATGCGTAATGGTACCAAATACTGAATTTGTTGTTTTATCGTTGGCAATTAATAAACCGTTCTGAGATGTTACTGCAATTCTTGAACAACCAAAATCTGATAGTTTACATATTTTCCCATTTACATGAACAATAATATTAGCTGGTTTTACATCCAAATGTAGCAGCAAGTGACTGTGGCAATGCACTAAACCATTTATTACCTTAAAATAATATGTTAAGCGGTTAACTAAATTATGATTCCAAAATATGTCTGTCACATTACATAATCGAAAGTTTAGATATTTAATTTGAATTTCAATATTTAAATAAAAGAGCTGAAATTACGAAATATTTTCTTGCTTGTTATAAATTCTAAGCGTGTAATAAATTACATGATCGTATTGAATGACTCTTTCTTTGGAAAATTTAAGCAAGCAGATTTTTTTAGCTTCCATTTGTTTGATTCAAATAAGAAATACCGAAAATGTTTTCCATTTCTTATATAGCAGAATAAAAAATAAGTATCAGGAATTAATAACAAATTTACAAATGTTAAAATTGTTTTAAAAACTTGTGAAATGGAGGATTGCGTGTTTTACCTGAAAAGCGAGCAGTAGACGTTGCGCAGGAGTAACATGCCACACGTCATCATTAATCAATTGTTGCAAATTTTTTCCTTCAAT